CTCAACAACTATTTCATATTTTGGTAAATATTGGTCTGAATTCAATACATTATTTCATTTTAAAATTGGAAAACTTTGGTGTTCACTTATTGTTTTAGAGATTTATGCTTCAAAGTGTTATGGTTTATTAAGTTTTTGGATTCTATGCTAAGCATAGTATATGTTCTTTCGTGTTATTCACATTGCATGCATATTCAAATTGTTATTAAAGTGGGTAGAGATATATATATGATAGATAATTAGTTATATATAGTAAATGATTATATCGGCTAAAATTATGAACCATATATACCTTTAGGTAGTTTTGAAAATGTACTTTCATGCTTTCGGTTATATTACTGTATTAGTGTATGCATGTATCTGAAGTCATCAATATAATCCTTTAGCCAAATATTTCTCTCTTATTCTTTGTGTTTATCTAGATCGTGTGTTGTTGTGCGATCCTAATAACTGGTACCAGAGCTAAGCAAAGATTCACCACGATCTGTAAAGATGGAAAGTTCAAAGATTGGAATTGAGAAGTTCGATGGATTTGATTTTGGTTTTTGAAAGATGTAGATTGAAGATTATTTGTATTAGAAAGATCTTCACGAACCCCTGTCGGGGATGAAGCTGGATACATGACTATGGAGAAGACACTGTCCAGAAATGTGGCATTCAACATCGTTAAGGAGAAGACAACATTGAATTTATTGAAGGTGTTGTAGAATATATAAAAACTAGAGAGAAAGTAGAATCACAAATCTAGAGATGATGATGATTTCGTAAATTCAACAGAAGATGATGCTCTAATTCTTAGTGTGGACAGCCCGACTGAATTCTGGATTTTGGATTTAGGTGTATCGTTTCACTTATCTCCATGTAAGAAATTGTTTCTAAATTTTAAATCAAAAAATTATGAGAAGGTGTATTTTGCTGACAATAAAACATTGGAGATTGAAGGGAAGGGAATGTAAGCATACAAACTCTACCATATCGCTATTGGTTAGTTGGATAACACAAGTTATGCATGAGTTTGGGAAGAGTTCCTGAAAGATTGTTAAGGGTGCCATGGTATTAGAACGTGGCACAAAATCTGGAACCCTATACACCTCTTTAGGGTGTATAAACATGGTTGCTGAGAGAGTGCTTCCAATTCAAGTTTATGACACAATAGTCTTGAACATATGAATGTCAAACGAATGAAAATGTTGGCTGCCAATGGAGTTTTAGAAGGCCTGAAATTCGTTGATATGAGCCTTTGTGAGAGTTGCGTTATGGGCAAACAAAGATAAATTAGCTTCACAAAAGCTACTAGAGAATTGAAGAAGTGCGGTTGGAAATAGTCTATACAGACATTTAGGGACCATCTCGAGTTCCATCACTTAGTGGATCAAAGTTCTACATCACTTTCATCGATGATTTCAGCAGGAAGGTATAGGTTTATTTCCTGAAACACGAGTCAAATGTGTTTGTCACCTTCAAGAAGTGGAAAGCTGAAGTTGAAAATCAAACCGGCTTGAAAAACAATTGTCGAGTTAGCTTCACAGAGATCAATTGTCCATACTCGCATGTGTGGACCGTGTTTAGAACAGTAAATACGCATTCAATTAGCCCGTTTAAGATAACCGTTTAAGAAATATAGACTGATATGTTAGGTCATATTCATAATTGTGTGTGTTTACCTGTAACTCCAATAGTAGGATCACTTACTGAATATTTTTTAAAATACTCAAACCGTAGTCTATATAGTTTTGTAATACTGCACATCCGCCCCGTCGATCAAGTTTCAAGACAATTTTTTACGCCGGAAAATTGGCATTGGTCGAGTGTTGAAACTGGTAGCGAAGGCCAGATAGGAACAGGCGAATAACACATAGATTGTGAACCAGATGGATGAAAAAAAGGTGAAGTACGTAGATAATCTTCTCAAACAGAGAAGGCCACACAGCTAACCAAGAACCAAAGAAGAAGGAAGTAGCTTTTCGACTATAATGTAGGCTGAATACTCGAACAAAAATGGCACTGATAAAACCGTAGAATACTAACATCATAAATGCTGTTAAAAGAAGCACCAGTAAGCACAACAGACCCCTGAACAGCCTAGCTGGAGTTTGGGTGCGATCCCTCATTTCAGCATCCTCGACTTCCATACCCTCTTTGAATCATTCACAATATCCAGAACAAACGTATTCCCACTATCACCAGAGATTAGTGGGTCTCCTGATTAAGAAGGCAACATAGAGTGATTAGGACATGAAGGTATATCCCATCGACTCAATTAATAGTATGACCTGAACTTCTCACTTTTCAGCTAAGATAAGATCTTCATCTTTTGTTCCTGGATCGATCACAAGTCCACAGCCAACAAAATAGGATCACACAGCTTAATGCGAATCCAGAAATCCAAATATAATCGAATCATACATTCACAACAAGATGTGCATGATCTCGAAAATCACAGAACAAAAGTTTAATACATTTACGATAAAATATCAAAGCCAATGGATATACATCAGATTCGACCAAAGAAAAATTATTCCAAATCCTGTTTACTCGCACAAAAATCCGAGGAAGAAGTCGAGCGATCAAATCACCACGTGTCAGAATTCACCACAACACCGAAAAAATCGGCCAGAAAAAAAAACGGTCGAACTTTTATGCATGTTCTCGTAGGTTCAGCAAACTGAGAAATGAGACAAAGAGCACTAGATTTTCGCGGCAGTTTCTCAGGAACCAAATAGAAACTGTCGTAATGGGAAAAACAAAATGGCGATAAGTGGATTATCTCAAATGCATTGACAGCCTTTTTCGATGATGAAAGTCTCTGCTAATTTAGGGAATGATCATGGGTTTATAAGTGAGGAATACTAACTCCATTGGTATGAGGTCTTTTGGGAAGCCCAAAGCAAAGCCATGAGAGCTTATGCTCAAAGTGGATAATATCATACAATTGTGAAGAGTCGTGTTCGTCTAACATGATATCAGAGCCATGCCCTAAACTTAGCCGTGCCAATAGATTGACAAATCCTCGAATGTCGAACAAAGGACTCCAAAAAGAAAAAAGAAGTCAAGCCTCCTCGAAGGTACGAATGCAGTAAAAAATGACTAAGACTCCAAAGGAGTCGAGCCTCGATTAAGGGGAGGTGTGCTTTGTTCGAGGGGAGGTGTTGGATGATGAAAGTCCCACATCGGCTAATTTAGGGAATGATCATAGGTTTATAAGTGAGGAATACTAACTCCATTGTTATGAGACCTTTTGGGAAGCCCAAAGCCTCGATTAAGGGGAGGCGTGCTTTGTTCGGGGGAGGTGTTAGATGATAAAAGTCTCACATCGGCTAATTTAGGGAATACACGAGAATCGTGTTCGTCTAACAAGCCTCAAGATTGTAGTGTTTTAACTAATATGAAAGTAAATTAAAAACTCATTACAATAAGAAAATAAAATAAAATTCTCCAATTTTTATGACTTTTCCAAACAAATAATGCTAGATTGATAGACACTTCTTGTTTTTGTTCTTTCATTTGATAGGTACTTAAAAAGGATAGGTTGGAATCTTAAATTGTATTGAATGGAAATAATTATAAATCAATTGTAATGATGTGAGATCTCAATTTGGTTGGACAGAGTAGAACGAAATATTATTTATAAGAGTGTGAAGACCTCTCTCTAGTAGATGCGTTTAAAATTATGAGGCTGATGACAATATGTAACGGGCTAAAATGGACAATATTTACTAGCAGTAGCCTCGGACTGTTATAGTTGATATCGGAGCCAGACACGGATGTGTCAGCAAACATGCTAGACCCAAAGGGAATGGATTGTAAGATATCACATTAACTGGAGAGGAAATCGAAATATTCTTTATAGTATGAAAATCTCTCCCTAATAGACATTTTAAAATTATGAAGTTGACGATGATGTGTAATAGACTAAAGCGAACTATACTGCTAGTAAAGACCTCATGCTGTAACAAATAAAGTTCTAGGTATTTTTTCGAACAGGAGACTTGTATATGTATTCTTGGATATGACCTTCCGCGCACTCACGCTCGTGAAAATGCTTGGAGGGAAAGGAACGCGCATAATATCATGATGTACATAATATCATAGCATACACATTCGTATTAATTATAATGGGAAAGTATCTTAATGCAAATGACATATAAAATGTATGAGGTCCCCTAACTTTAAATCCTAGTATATGCGTATGATACATGTCATGCCTCGTTTTGTCATAACACAATTTTCATGAATAACATAGGTGGTTTAATAGTTTTTTCATAAACGCGAAGTGAACATGCTAACATAGTGTGCATGTTATAACATATAGAGGTATCATGCATCATACGATATGGAAAGTCACAACCAGATATATAACATAACACAACATCTCATGACATCAAATATAACACGACAGAACATAATACGTGTCAGACAATCACAAAGTATGACACGTCAGAGCGTGTGTCGTTCATACATAATACAATTAATTCAATCAAACCAATAGTAAAACCATTTAAGCCGAAGTCATTATGCTCCCTTGATGCTATCTCAAAATTTCTCCTTGAAATTTAATTTTACGTAAGGAATCCCATAATCATAGAAGTAAAAACTCTACTATGAAAATTGACTCATCTGATTTGCATAAAGTAATCTAGACTTCGCTTGAAAAGTAGCCATATTAATCTTAAATGTCTCTGAAAGCGTAAAAAACACCTCTCAAAGAGTCAAAATTGATGAGACTCAAGCTGGATTATCTGAGAAGTCGAACTGGAGCCGTCAAAAAATGTATTCTTCAACTACCTCCGAATCACCAAAGTGAGATGAAACTGTCCAATTATTATGCCATGGTAAGTCAAGAGACCTTCCTTTTATATTGAACTCAAACTTCCCACTTTCTCAATCTAATAGACATATATTTCAATTTTTCGGTGGTTAACATTCAAGACCCGAAGATATTTATAAGAGGTATAGGATTGAAATAACATGTCCCTCTCCCATGGCCTATAAAAACACAATGAAATGAGGAAACCAATCACTCAAGTTCATCTCAAACCCACCATAGTTGTTGTTGAGTATAGTGATAAAAGAGAAATCAACTAAGATGAGTGGTGGGAAGGGTTCGGTCTTTTTGGCTATATTGCTCTTCTTTTTCCTTGTCTCCTCCGAGCTGGGTGCAGCCAGGAAGCTAATGGTGGCCGGAAACAATGGTGAGGTCCTTACATATTGTGCACCCTACCGTTTTTAGTTTTGGTTAATGTGAATGTTTGCTAAATCCATCACGCTTAAATGGGGTGAGAGTTCTCTTATTTATAATCATTTACAGAATACATAAATATTGGTAAATTACAAATAATATGAAATAACAATAAAAGTAAAGAATAATAAATGAATACAATATATTTGTCTTTAATAAAAGGACAAATATGATAACCCGTAAGGTAAATATCTAGATATTTGTCTTATAATAAACGGTTAAGTATATATAGTGAAAGTTTAAATTTGTTTTTGGATGCAGCAGCGATCATACATGAAGGCCGCACCACTTTCGTCACCTCCCCGCACACAAAACCCCAACAAACCTGTTTGCGATCGCCCAGGTCGTTATAGTGATTGCTTCCGACGGCCAGCCCCACCCGCAGTCTGCAATTTTTATTCACGAAATTGCCTTCCGAAGAACTGAAGTGCACACTAAGATCAAACACCATGGGAACTAAATAAACTAACCCACACCTACCTGGGTTTTAGTGTGTATTGAATCCTCTACTTATATGGTTATAAGTTTGGGAGATTTGTGCAATATAATTCAACTCGATCAATTTACACTATTTATAAAAATACTTTGGTTTATAAGAGTGCCAACTTTTAATTCTATCAATTAAGTTTATGAATTTTTAATACTGATCCGATTTAGATTTTTTATTTCAAATATTTGACGATTTCCAAGTGATAGTTTGAATTTTTTAAGAAGACGGTAAGAAGTGACGTAGGAACAAATTTTAAATTGATTCTCATATAATAGTTTATGGATTTAAATATATTTTTGATTTTTTAGTGTTACCATGAGGTAACGAAGGGACCTTATAGATCTGCATGTTTTAAGAAGACGGTAAGAACCAATTTTCATTTATTAACAGCAGGTCACCCTACCCTACTAAGGACGTATAGTTGAACTCATATTCGCGGTAGAACAAGTTGTTTCTATTGATATAATCGCTACATGCAAGTTGATTCTTCACAAATTGTTCGTAATTACAACTAGGTCAAAATTTCATTTTACACCATCATTACATCTTTTAAATTACCATTGATTCTTTAATTAACAATTTGTTTATCATCCAACTATGAATTAAATTCCTCTCGGGCCAATGAGAGGGTGAGGTCACTGTTTAAGTCCCGAAATTAACACTTAATGAAACTATTCATCTACTTCTCCTATATGGGTAAGCATATTGAATCGGTTACAAAAACAATTCTCACTCATATAAATCAAAGAATAAGTTCTCAGGGCTAGAAGTTCTTAACTCACGTGAGATTAAAATTGAGTTGCATATATCATCCAATGAAATATTAATCTTTAGAATTAATAAATTTACAAAAAGAGATCAAATATTTCATGGTCTAGTCTTATACAAACTCATTATATATGATATCTCCACTCACATGTCTCCCTACGAACAAAGATCAAATCATTTGTAACGATTACAAAATTTGTTGTATCAGTAGCATTACTCGGATAAGATACTTGACTTTATATAATATATTATAAACCCTTTAAGTTATTACGTAAAAATAACAAGTCCTATAAATTAATATTATTATCTATAAAATATCTTCCTATGTTCTTGAATAAATAATAAAACAAAACTTGTTTCCTTTAAGGTAAAACTTTCCCAAACAATAATGCAATCTATGCTTGGTACACTTTTGGTTATTCTTCCGACGGGTTTGGTGGGCACTTAAGGTTTTATTGATATAGTTACAACTTTGTAGGTGTGTAAACTATTTTTTTTTTCAAAAACGGAATCTAATAGACATACCATGTGAGACCACACATTGGTCGGAGAGAAATGCAGCATTTCTTAAAAAGTTGTAGAAACCTCTTCCTAATAGATGCATTTTAAAATCGTAAGACTGATGACGATACGTTATGGACCAAAGTAAACAATATCTCTTAGGGGTGGGCTTGAGCTATTACAAATGGTATCAGAGCCAGACACCGGGCAGTGTACCAACGAGAACGCTTGCCCCTAAGAGAGGTGGATTGTAAGATCCCACATTGGTTGGAGAGAGGAACGAACCATTCCTTATAAAAGTGTAGAAACTCTCCTTGATAGACACATTTGAAGATGAGTAACAAACCAAAATGGACAATATCTACTAGGGATGAGCTCGTAAGATCCATACGTCCTAAAAAAAACAACCCACATTCAAAAAGTTGGCAAATTTTGTTGTTATGAGGACCCATTCCGATCATTTCCCCATCCCTTGGCCTATAAAAACACATTGTTATATGGAAACCAATCACTCAATTTCATCTCAAAACCACTTTACTTGTTGTGTATCAACAAGTTAACATGAGTTGTGGGAAGGGTTCAGTTTTCTTGGCCTTCTTCTTCTTCCTTCTCCTCGTCTCCTCCGAGCTGGCTGCAGCTCGGGAGCTAATGTTGGCCGAAAAAAATGGTAAGCTTCTTAGCCATTCTCTTTTAATAGTCTTTTTTGGGCTTTCCCTTTCAAGTTTCCTTCAAAAATTTTAAAACCCGAAAATTTTTTCACACCTTTCTAAAGGGTATTTAGTTTTGTTCCCCAATCGATGTGCAATCTCACATTAAACTTGTTTTGGGATGCAGGAGCGGCCAAACATAAACCCTACCCCATTTTCTACAGCTTAATCCCCATCAAACCCAATTGCAGTCATCCCAACCATTATCATAAATGCAGTTCAAAATCGGTCCCAAAACACCAAGATCACTGCGATACTAAGTCAAAAAAGTGCAATGATACACAAAACTGAAGTGGAAACTAAGATCAAACACCATGGAAACTAAGTAAATTAACTCACAACTATGTGGGTTTTAATTATGTTTTAATCTCTTTAAACCCTTCATCTCTTTCTTTGCTTTCCATAATTATCCATCTTATGTGTTGTTGGACCTTTGTTGCGTGTATTGAATCCTATTTATAATGTTAAAAGTTCGAGAGATTTGTGTTTTATGTCGAGGATGCGGGAGTATAATTCGTAACTCGATGAGTTTATATCATCTGTCAGGTTTTATCTAAAAAAAACGTTAATTTACATGTGTAATTATTTTTTTTTTTTTCCAAGTGTTGATGATTTTCAAGTGGGTAGTTTAAGTTTTCTAAGAAGGCTGTACAATTGTGAGAACTGATGTATGAACAAATTTTAAATTGATTTTCATGGAATAGTATATTGGGTTAAATCGATTAAATTATAATTTGGGATGTAAGTTTTTTTAAAAACTAGCCAAATTTTAGGGGGAAAAAAGAGATTTAGAGAAGCAATTGAGAGAGATGCCAATCAAACAAAATGATAAATTCAAGGAGTGGGTGCTTTTTTCTTGACCTAAATTTCGATTTGTTAGCCGCTACTAGGTTGAAAATGTGAGATCCGACTTCGAATAATGAGCAGAACGAAACCTTTCTTATAAAGGTGTAGAAACCAATTCATAGTAGATGCGTTTTAAAGTTATAAGGTTGACAACGATACGTAACAGGCTAAGATGGACAATATCTACTAGCTATGAGCTTGAGTTGTTATAAATGGTAATAGAACCAGACACCCAGGCTATGTGTCAACAATGACATTGTCCTTAAGGAAGAGTGATTGTGACATCCACATCAGTTGGAGAGAGGAACGAAACATTTATAAGATGGGAAAATCTCTCCTTAGTAGAAATGTATTACAATCATGAGCCTAACGAGCCAAAACAGACAATATTTGTTAACGGTTGGCTTGAGCTGTTACATGAAAAAATTTAGATTAATCAAGGATAGACTTTTAGTCACAACAGGGAATGTCGTTCCCAAGCAACAAGAGCCACATACGAACAAAATATCAAACCGTAGAGATGAAATTCTAACTTTTAAAACAAGAGAAATTAAAACTTATTTTTTTCAAAAAATATAAATTTTAGTTCTTTAAATTTTTAAAAGACGACATAAATCTAGTTATAGCTATTGCTCTATCACCTAATATCTGCGAACTCAATATTCACCTTATTTAAGTGTCACTTATGCAAAATAAACAATACACAAATATATAATTAAAATTTTATTGATTAAAATGGAATAAATTTAACCAAACTAAACTTAATTAATTAATTAAGACATATACGACCAAAATTATTAATAATTTTAATATATTTAAAATTAAATTTCCAACTTATTTAGATAATCAGAAAAGGAAATAATCTAAAACAAATTTAAATGAAAAAAATTCAAACTCAAATATATCATGCAAATAAGGACAATATTTTAAAGTATAAAATTAGGAGAAATTAAGGAAACAAATTCAAAACAATAAATAAAAATAATGAAGGAGCATCTATTAATACCTATAAAATTTTAAATTTTTTAATAATACCTTTAAAACTTTTTTAATTTTTTTTTAAAAAGTTAAAAAAATACGATAGAAACCGTTAATAATTTATTTCAAAATACCCAAAACGCCCTTGAATTTTGAAAAGGGTTTCAAAATACACTCAAACCTCCAAATTTTCATTAATACTCTTAAATTTTTTTTAAAAGCTTATAAAAAAAAATACTTTTACCGTTAATAAAACCCGTCACTATCCATTTAAGAAAAATTAAAAGTACAGTTAATAAACCGTCCACATTTTAAAAATACCCATAAATTTTGTATCAGTACATTTAACCTAATTTTTTTTTTTTTTTTTGGTATTTTATTTTAACATCTAGTTAATAATAAGAAACCCTAAATCAATAATTAACCAAAACCCTCTTCCCTAAAATAGCAATAGAAGTGGCCGCCAAGGGCTTTTATAAAATCTTCATCCAAAGAATCATAAGGCATTAGGGTTTTTGAAGATGAGCGTAGAATTGTTAGACAGCGCCACCGTAGTGAGCTTCGTGGAGGACGAGGAAGCCTTTGGCGCCGCCATTAGGGAGCGTTTCAGGCACCTCGACGTGGACGGCGACGGCGCGCTGTCGTACACAGAGATGTTAAAGGAGTTTGGAAGCGATGAGGTTTGTTGTGCGTACGAAAGTGAGTCGAATGGAAAAGTTGATTTGGAGAAGTTCATGAGGGGAATGAAGAAGATGATGATGGCCATTGCTGAGGGGTTAGGGTTCTTGCCCATTCATATGGCGCTGCAAAAAGATGGTTTGTTGATGAAAGCTGTTCAGAGAGAAGCCGCCGCCATGGTAGATGCTTGAATTGTTCTTGTTCTTGTTCTTTATTTTTTTACTAGTTCTTTAAAACAATTTTACTAGGAATTTGTCATCTTCTCTATCAAAAGTTTTTCAGTTTCAATTCTATACTTTTCACAATTTTGATTCATTCTTTTGTTTTTATATATAATATTTGATTAGATTAATAGAATGGTTAATTCATGTACACCTTCACTCAAGGTCATGTGCTCACTCGTTTTTGCCTTAGTTTGACCTTAAATTATATTATAGTTGGTAAGGACCGATTCCTAACATTTATATAAGAATTCAAAATTTGGACTATTTCCCATACACACCCACACATCAACATAGGTCCTTTCAAACTGCTATGCCATCACTCACGGGCATCCTAGGTAAATCTATGTCATTGCTCTATGCCATCACTCACGGGCATCCTAGGTAAATCTATGTCATTGCTCTATGCCATCACTCACGGGCATCCTAGGAAAATCTATGTCATTGCTCTATACCATCACTCACGTGCATCCTAGGTAAATCTATGTCATCGCTCTATGCCATCACTCACGTGCATCCTAGGTAAATCTATGGCATTGCTCTATGCCATCACTCACGTGCATCTTAGGAAAATCTATGTCATTGCTCTATGCCATCCCTCGTGCATCCTAGGAAAATCTTTAAGAAGTCATCTAATATAGAATTGCTCCAAGTATTTAACTTTCTATGATTGAGCCCCTTGAAAAAGGTGCACCTTATGTTTATGAATTTATGTATCCCTCCTTGGTGTCAACACCATATGGAGTATTTGAAATTATGAGACATGTAGTATGAAAACATGTTAGGTAGATTTTGCCCTAAGATACACATCTTACCAATTTAGATACACGTCTTACCAAATGGTTGCCATTTATATTATAAAACAACATATTAATATATTTTTATTTACTATCTAAATTAACTCTGACCTAAAAATTAAAAATTATAGGTGTAAACTTCAATATTATGTGGATGACACATTTATAAAAAAAATTTAAAGGCCTATAGTAAATTAATAAGATTGGTTTCCGGGTAACATTACATAAATGACTTGATTTGAATAATTCATATGAAGGCATACGAGTGAGAGTGTTATATACAATGAGTTTGTATAAGATTCAATCCCAAAATATTTATTCCATCTATCTTTACAAATTTATCAATTGAGGAAATTAATATTTGAACTGAATCATCATATGCTACTCAATCTCAACTGACCCTATTTTGGGATACATACGTGCTATCTGCTATCTTGTAACGGTTCGATTTCACACATTATCACAATTCACTCCCTTCATGGCTTAAACATCTTTGCTGACACTTGTTCCTTTCTCTAATTGATGTGGGAGTCCACCAAATCTACCCCTTTCAGGTCCAATGTCCTTACTAGCACAAAGCCCCGTATCTACTCATTTGGGGGATAGCCTCCTATAGTTTTCTTTTGGTTTTTCCTTTCGAGTTTTCCCTCCGAGCTTTAAAACGAGTCTGTTAGGGAAAGTTTCCATATACTTATAAAGGGTGTTTTGTTCTCTTTCGTATCCAACTTCGGATATCACTCATCTACTTTATGCTCTTCCTTTTTTTTTTTTTTCACTCTCCTTTGTATATAGTATTAATTGCATTCATAAAATGTATTGTATTAAGTGCATTTAAGAGTCTGAAATGAAAGGACCTGACATACTTCATTTCCTAGCAGTGCCAACCAAATTTGACCATGCTAGCTCCCTATTTCGAACATAATTTTAAAATGACACAAAATGAAGTTTTCAAATAGTCTTGGAAATGGATTGGACATAGTTTTGAGATTTATTTGAAATGAATTATTAATATCATGGGTCAGATCACCCCACCATGTTACACAAGATGTTGCCCCATCCTTGTAAATGAAATAATCTCCATGAGAAGCTGTGCCTGACATAAACAATGATGTACTAGAACCCACTAGATTAATGCAAGGATCCACTTTTGATTTGTACAATGAATATGCCCATTTCAAAGTTTACTCATCAGCCAATACCCTTTTACGGGTTGATTATTATTTACATCATTTTCATGTGGTTCTAGATCATCGTCATGCCAATTTTTTCTTTGTTCAATATTTTTAGTCATGTAACCGTTTAAACCCACCGCCAGTAGATATTGTTTTCTTTGAAGCTTTTCCTTTGTTTTCTTTGGAACTTTTCCTTTCGAATTTTCCCTCAAAATTTTTAAAACGTGTTTGCTAGGGAGAGATTTTCACACCTTATAAAGAATACTTCATTTTCCTCCTCAACTAATGTGGAATCTCACAGGTCCACTTGCATGAAAATAATTTGACAGAGCAACATTTAGACATGTCGACTTTTCATCTAACATTCTAACGAGTTTTGAACTTTAAAATAGTTTTAAAACAGTTGAGAGACGTCGATTTGAATTTAACGTGAATTTAAAGTTGCACGATAACCAGTGTGTTGATGATTGTGGGGAGGAGTCCCACATTGGATAATTAAGGATTTGATTATGGGTTTATAAGTAAATAATACTTCGATACAAGGCTTTTTAAAAAATTCAAAAGCAAAATCATGAGAGTTTAGTAGTGGTGAAACATTATCTCTCCCTAAAGATAAGATTTTGAAGAGAGCTGAGTCATTTCAAAATGTTTTTCATTTGGTTCATTAACACCCAACTAAATTATGAGTCAGTCATAAATCCCAACGTCCTAATTCAGCTCATCTCCTTTACTCTTTTTGCCTATAAATAGTTCAAGAAGAATGCAAATCTTACTCATCCCATCTCAAAAAATCGATCTTTACTACACAAAAAAAATGAGCTCTAAGGCTTTTGTTTTCCTCGGCCTTCTTTTTGCCTTTGTTCTCCTCATCTCTTCGAACGTGGCTGCGAGCGACCTCGCACACACCTCGGTCAAGAACGAAAATGGTGAGTCTCACATGATAAGATTCTATGACACTTAAAATCTTGACCGCAATGTCTAGCTTTGTTTCACTTGGAGTTAATTTTAATGATAATGTTGTAGTGGCTACAATGGAGACCAATGGCGTAGAGGATGCCAAGTATGGAGGATATGACAGGGGCTACCGTCGTGGTCGCTACGATCATGGCGGCCATGATGGGCACGGTCATGGTGGCTACCGTTGCCGGCATGGTTGGTGCCGCTACCGGTGCTGCAGCTACGCCGGTGAAGTGGTGGAGGGTGCAAAGCCATAAGGCATAGTGTGGATGTGCTGAAATAATGAAATGGTTTAATGTTTGAGAAATAAATGCATGGGGAATGGAATGCCTCGGCTGTTCTTTCTCCGTGTTTAGTTTTTACTGTGTGTTTCTGTCTGCAAATTCCGTTTCTAAGTTATCGAACATTGTCCCCCTTTCGCCATTTCCAATGTTTATAAAATGTTCATAAGCTTGACACCGTGCCAAAATAAAATAATTGATTATCCTTACGTTTCCATCTCACTCAACCCCACTTTTATAGGTCGATAGAACGAAACCAACCAGTTAATCGATTGTTTTTCTGTTATGTATTATCGGAGAGGTTTCTATACCTTTACCCTTACACCCTTACACCCTTACGAAAGATATTTCATTTTTCTCTCTAACCGATGTGGGATCTCACAATTTACCCATCTTGGTGATCTAGCCTACTCATTGACACACCGATCGATGTCTGGCTTTGATACCATTTGTAACAACTCAAGCCCACCACTAGCAGATATTATCCATTTTGGCTCGTTATGCTTTGTCTTCAGTCTCACAAATTTTAGAACGCGTTTCTTAGGGAGAGGTTTCCACGCCCTTATAAAAAATGTTTTGATTCTCTCTCCAACCGATGTGAGATCTCACTCTTTTTTCTTCTTCACTCCATCCTTAGATTTGAGCTCGAAATCAATACCAATAGAGTAATTGGCTAAAGGACCTCCCTAGTTTTGAAGCATGACTACATATGTATAGTATTAATGGTATTAACTACATTTAAGGGCTCTTGTGTGGCAATGTATAAATGAAAGAACCTAACACACTCACTCCCTTTCTCTAACACGCCAGCCATATTTGAGTATTAAATAGATGTTGCCAACTGACCCCATATTACACTAGTGGTTATCCTCATCTCTGCAGCTGAAATAGTCTCTCCAATAAGCTTTGCTCTGTCATAAACACGGATGAATTAGACCCCTCTTAATAAATGCTAAGAACTACTTCTGAATTTCTCAATCAATATGCCAATTTGAAAGTTTGAAAAGGGTGCACCTTACATTTATTAAAAAGGTTTACTGATATCTATTCAATCGTGTATGACATAACTTTGATGTTTAAATTAAGCACGAGATTTGCAAAAGGCTTACCTTCTCTTTGAGTTAAAAAGAGAGCTTTCACCAATTCTTTCTCGATCATATCAGTTCTACTCGTATACCTTTCTTAAAAAATCTATTTTTTCTTACCACTAGATCATGTGAACCCTTATGTTGTAGTTGAATTGTTATCGTAATCAATGATTCTAAATCAATTATTCGATTCAAAGAGCTTCATTATTGAAGCATGCAATATACTCATGTCAAACTTTTCTTTGAGTCAATTATTATTTATATTTTATTTTTCTCTAAAAATAAAATTGTGAAGTCTCATTTTTGCTTCTCATTTCAAAATAATTCTCTCATTTAGTTCATCACACCCAACTAAAATGCTAGCCTTTTAATTGTCGGGTCTAAATTCTCCCCATCTGTAATAGTCCAAATCTACTGCTAGTACATGTTTGCTTTGGCTCATTACGCATTATCGTCATCAGTCTTACGATTTTAAAATGCGTCTACTAAAAAGAGATTTTCACACCTTTATAAGAAATGTTTCGCTACCCTCTCCAACTAATCATAGATATTGTGAGATCCCACATTAGTTGAAGAGTAACAAAATATTTTTTATAAATGTATGGAAACCCCATTTAAAATCATAAGACGGATAAGAATAGATAACTAATTGATTAAAGTGGAGAATATATATTAGCAGTGGTTTGAACTAATACATAGTCTCTATGTTGATGCCTATAAATACATCTACATGATGCACATCCTATTCATGTTCCAAGGCTTTTGTTTTCTTTGGTCTTCTTTTCGCCTTGTTCTCGTCATCTCTTCTAAGGTGTCCGCAAGAGACTTGGCGAAGAACTCGGAAAAGGACAATGATGTGCCTTATACGATAAGAACTTTCTTTAAAATATGTGAAATGTTTATTTATTGATAAATTTTTATGTTGTAGAGGTGAGGGTGGAGATCAATAGCATTGAGGATGCCAAATATGATGGAGGTTATGGAGGCCATGATCATGATGGTTACGGCGGCGGTGGAGGTTATGGCCATGGTGGCTACGGCGGCCACAATGGCCACGGTGGCGGCCGTGGATGAAATTTTTCAAAAATCCTCCTTGGGATAGGGCTTGCATGGAATACTAATTTTAATATCACTCAAAACAAATATATTTTTATTAAAATAAAACATGTAAATAATTTATGTGGATCAAAAAAAAAAAAAAAACATACTTAATATCATCGGTAGTTATGTAGAAGATTTAGATCGTTGTAGCCATTTATTTAATATCAATATATTGTTGAAATCATTATCTATATATCAACCATGTGTCAAAGGAACGTTAATAATACTGAAAATGATGTCATGTATATCTTTCAATTTTTACACATTATCCACCATATGATTCTATTGTATTTGTAACGACCCTAGATTTCACTAACCTAAAGTCGCTACCGTATGCATAAAATAATCATTTTATGCAAAAATAAGGGATGGATACCAAGCAGTATGTTAGCAAGAGGACGTTGGGCCATAAAAGGGAGTGAATTATGAGATACCACATCGATTGGAGAGAGGAGCGAGTGTCAACGAGAACGCTGAACCCCGAAGGTGAGTGGATTGTGAGATCCTACATCAGTTGAGGAAGAGAATAAAACATTTTTTATAAGGGTGCAAAAACTTTCCCTAACAAACATGTTTTAAAAACGTTGAGAAAAAATTCAAGAAATAAGATAATATCTAGTAGTTTTGTTTTATGGAATAAATTTTGAAATTTAAGCATAAAATATATTTCATATTTCTTTTTAAATTTAGGAGGCTATCCATAGGTATTACTATCCATTCAAATTAAGCATAAAAAAAAAAAAATATATATATATATATATATATATATATATTTTTTTTTTTAAATTTAGGAGTGTATCCATAGGTATTGCTATCCCTTCAAATTATAATATACACATATATATACATATATATATATATATATATATATATATATGTATATTAATTTAGGAGGTTATCCATAGGTATTGCTATCCATTCAAAATTTTGCTAATCTTCTCATCCCTTCAACTTTCTCCGTATTTCTTTAGTTCGAGCGTTTACAATGAATTCTAAAGTTCTAAATTTAGGATGCTACAGCTACCGCGAGAGGTTTAAAGAACGGTAAAATTTTATTCCATATGTTCGCTCGTGGATATCGTTAATGATTACGTTTAAATTATGGACTTAGCTTACTATTCTTAGGGCATGATTATATCATACAGTTGAAGAAGCTGTGATGGAGACTAACAGAGATGGAATCGAGGATGAAAATCATCGTTTCCACCATGGGCACCATCACGGGCACCGCCACCATTGTCATCACGGTTGCTCTGCTGATGAGGATGTTAATGAAGATCCACAAGCCAAGCCTAACAATTGAAAACTATGTTGGTTCAAGTCAATGTTATAGTGATTGTGTAAGTAATGAATAAATGCATTATTATGCTTGAGCCAGTGAAGGCTTGTTGGTGTCCATGTAATCTTGCCCAAGTACAAGGGTATTAGTTAATCTCTACTATTGAGATTAATTGCGTGTATTTTAAGCTTTATTGTATAAGTAAATTATACAATCATGTATAAGTATATCAATTATGGATGATGCAATATATCTCTCTGCATGTATAATAAGATACGTGTAACAAGTCCTAGTAGACAAATTATTCAATCAGACAGTGCTACGACTAAGGTTGTCTCATTAAGACTATCAAAGGTTATCTTAAAATTTGTTTCTTTTTTAAGGCTTGTTGAGTTCAACGTTGGGAGAGGAGAACGAAACATTCCTTATAACAGTGTGGAAACCTTTCTCTAATAGACGCATTTTAAAATTGTGAGGCTGACGACGATATATAACGAATCAAAGCGGACAATATCTGTTAGATGTGAGTTTGAGCGGTTATAAATAATATCAAAGCCAAACACCGAGCAGTGTACTAGCGAAGACTTTGGGCTCCAAATGAGTGGATTGTAGGATCTCACGTCAATTTAATAGGCTAACAAAATATTTCTTATAAGGCCTTTCCTAACAAATTTATTTTAAAACCATGAATGTTACAAAATCGTGATATTATTTTAAATTGACAGCCTTGTTTTGGAAGCCTCTTCAAATAATTTTTCATTAAAATAATCGAATTTAAGGATAAAATCGAGTACAGCAATTAATACCTACAAAAATAATCTCATCCACTTATAAAGCAAACACAATTTTAAATAAAAATGAAACGTAGCTAATTGATGCGGGTATTAATTGTCACGATCCTTCAAGTTGAAACCCTATTGGTAAGGTACCAAATTAGTGGCACAAGAAATTATGCACATACGTATCACTCGATCAGTCCAAAACTTCAACTTGATCGTATTATGATCACACTTGTTCAGCAAGTGCTATTGAAGTATGCAATATATTCATGCCAACTCTTCTTCAAGCTTCATTAAAATATGAAATATACTCATGCAAACTCTTCTTTAATCTTTGCTTGATTCTTAATAAGTCCACTATTAGTAGATATGGTTTGGTTTGGTCTCTTACATATCGTCATCATCAACCTCACAATTTCAAAATGTATCTACTTAGGAGAAATTTTTACATCCTTATAAGTAATGTTTCGATCCTCTCTCCAACTAATCACAGATATTGTGAGATCCCACGTTAGTTGTTGGAGAGAAACAAAACATTTTTTTTTTATAAAGGTGTGAAAACCTCTTCTTAATAGACGCATTTTAAAATCATAAGACTCATAAGACTGTTGGCAATACATAACTAACTAAAGTGGACGATATATACTAGCAGTGGGTTTGAACTATTACACGGTCTCTCTACTCTTGATGACTATAAATACATCTAGAATGAGGCAGATCTTACTCATCTCATCTTCAAAAACATTTCTCTTACTACACACAAAAATGAGTTCCAAGGCTTTTGTTTCCCTCGATCTTTTTTTCGTTTTTGTTCTCCTCATCTCTTTTGAGGGGTATGCTAGAGATCTGGCGAAAACCTTGGTAAAACACAATGATGAGTCTTATACGATAAGAAATTTCTTTAAAAAAATCGAAATGTTTATTTACTGCTAAATTTTATGTTGCAGAGGTGAGGGTGGAGATCAATGGAATAGAGGATGCCAAATATGATAGAGGTCATGGAGGCCATGATCATGGTGGTTACCAAGGTGGTCGTTATGGCCATGGTGGCTGTGGCGGCCGTCGAGGCTACGGTGGCCACAATGGCCACAGTGAAGTGGTGGAGGGTGCAAAATGACACAATCGCACTTTTAAAGGCAGCAGACTAGCGATTGTGCGGCACTCATTTTCCACGACAAGTGAGCTAAGCCAATTTGTACTTGCGTCGCCTACGGCCAAGCGACGTATGATCAAGCCTCTAGCCTTGGTTTTAAAAGAAGGTTTTGGAAAACGAGGGTAGAGAGAGATTTTAGAAAGAGAGATTTTTGAAAGAGACGTTATATAAGCAAGCAANAGAGAGATAACAACGGCTTAGCATATATAACCTTGGGTAGGGAGAAGTTGACAACTAGTCATATCCCCCTATAGTACATTCTGAGGCATTTCATGTCTGGCAGGCCTAGACATGATATTTTTGAGGCGTCATATGCCCTAGAACTACAAAAGTAAAAACACTAGAATGAAAAGACATGACAAGGGTTTGGCTTGCCATAGGCATGCGGCCATGGGCAACACGCCCTGGACGAGCATGACCGTGACATCCTCCCCCACTTAATTGGTTGACGACCCCGTCAACCGACTACTTTCAAACCTAGCGATGTGGGAGGCTGCGGAGTTCAGGTCTTCGGCGCGTTCCCAGCTGGTTTCCTCTGTAGGGAGATTCTTCCATTTTACAAGGAATTCACGAATCGTCCGTACAGGTCTTCCTATCTTCCTAACCCTGTCGGCGAGGATCTCCTCTACTTCTTTTGTTTCTTTTTGCCTCAGATCGATGCTCGGTCTTGTGATTGCATTTCGTTGGTCGTCGTCTCGGTCAGGGTGGTATGACTTCAAGTTGCTCACATGAATTACTGGGTGGATTTTCATTCATGTGGGGAGTGAAACTCGGTAGGAGGTAGTCCCGATCTTTTTAAGGACTTCAACCGGGCCTTCATATTTTCGAACTAGTCTCTGGTCCTTTCGGCTGCAAAATCTGATCTGTTCTGGTTTCAGCTTGATGAGGACTTGATCTCCTGCTCGGAATTGAAGGGGGCGACGCTTCTTGTCTGCCCACTTTTTCATATGCTTGGAAGCCTTCTCTAAATATGCTCGGACTATATCTGTTGTCTGCTTTCATTCTCTTGTGAAGTTGTGAGCTTGAGGGTTTTTCCCTGCATAAGGATGATCGATAATATGGGGTAAGGTCGGTTGTCATCCACTTACAATTTCAAAGGGACTCTTTCCCGTAGACGAGCTGGTTTGACAATTGAAGCAAAATTGGGCGACATCTAACAGTTGTATCCAGTTCTTCTAGCGAGCGTCGACGAAGTGACGTAAGTATTCTTCGAGCAAGCAATTGAACCGTTCTGTCTGACCATCGGTTTGAGGGTGGTAACTCGAGGAGATGTTTAAGGTTGTTTCCAAGAAGGCGAATAACTCGGTCCAGAATGTCCCAATGAATCTGCCATCCCGATC